ACCTCCTTTCCTTTCCCTCTCTCTCCCTTCTCCCTCTCTCCCATTACCCTCTCTCCCTTTCCCCCTCTTCTTTTCCGTCTCTCCCTTTCCCCTCTCTCCCTTTCCCCCTCTTCTTTTCCCGCTCTCCCTTCCCCCCTCTCCCTTTCCCTCTCTCTCCCTTCCCCCGATCCCCCCCCCCCCGACCGACCGCCTGACAGGTTGAATATGGGACGCGGCTTTGTTGTATAACGAACGTGCGAGACGAGCGAAAAACTGCTCGTTATAGCGCTCTGTGGTTAACGATTATGTCTTCGTGGGCTAGCGAGTGCTTATCGCCTATAGCACTGTCGCTCGTTCTTTCTCTTTCTCTCTCCTTCATTCTGTCTTTTATCTGTCTGCCTATCTTTCTCGTTATCTATCTTCTTTTTGTCTGTTACATAGATCTATTAATGCTATTGCCTATTCGTCACTATTTATTCTTGCTTTCTTGTTTACCACTTTACTCTATCCTTCTCTCTTCCTCCTTTCCTTAATTCCAAAACTAAGACTGGAACTCGTATAGAAAGGAAACATAAGATAATGAAAAATAACAGACGGTAGCTGATAAAATAAACACTGGAGATAAGAGCTGATAAGAAAAGGAAAGGAAATAAGAAATGATAAAAGAAAGACATGGGATAAGAACTGATAGGAAAAGGAATGGAGATAAAAGCTGATAAGAGAAGAGATGAAAATAAGAACTGATGAAGACTGAAGATAAGAGCTGATAAAGGAAAGACTAGAGATTAAAGCTGATGAGAGAAGGAATGAAATAAATAATTGATAAAGGAAAGACTAGAGATAAAAGCTGATAAGAGAAAAAATGGAGATAAAAGCTGATAAAGGGAAGACAAGAGATAAGGGCTGATAAAAGAAGGGATGTAAATAGAACGGATAAGATAAAGACTAGACATAAGAACTGATAAGAGAAAAAAGTTGATTAAGTTCATAAAGGAAGATTTGACGATAAGAGCTGATAACAAGAAGAACAAGCAAAGAAAAAGAACAGAAGACAAGAAATGATAAAGAAGAACTGGAGATAGAGGTTGATAAAAAAGCAAACTGGAAAAAAATCAACTTAAAGAAAGGGGAACAAGCCATAAGAGGTGATAAAAGGGGAGAAGAGTTTCCGAAATATGAATTGGAGGTAAAAGAAGGAATAGAGATAAGACCAGATAAAAGTAGGAATAAGGATATGATCAGATAAAGTAGGAACAGAGATGTGATCAGATAAAAAAAAGAATAAAGATATGACCAGATAAAAGTAGGAATAGAAATAAGATGAGATAAAAGTAGGGATCGAAATAAGACCAAATAAAAATAGGAATAAATACAAGATCAGATAAAGGAAGGAATAGGGATAAGGTCAGATAAACGAGAGAGGACAGTGCACCATGATTAAACCCTAAATATAATACGTAATATCTAACAACAGCAAATTCATTTTACTTCAATTGCAAATTCGCACTGCTGATTGCATGATTCATAAATAATTAAAGCAAACTCTCTGTCTCTTTATATACATATATATATATATATATATATATATATATATATATATATATATATATATATATATATATATATATATATATTATATATATATTATATATATATATATATATATATATATATATATATATATATATATAATATATATATATATATATATATATATATATATATATATATTATATATATATATATATATATATGATCCCATGATCCAAAAACAAACGGCCTCTTTTTATACATATAACTGTAAGTGAGTATATGATCACGTGATTCTTAAGCATAACTAAAAGCATCCTAGGCAAGGTCCTTTAGTCCCCCCCCCCCCACTACTCCGCCCCCCATTTTCTAGTGGAGGACCACAACGCCATCTATGGGTCGTTTGGAAACACGTGGACGGCGGGGAATGTCGGCGGACTTTTGATCGCGGCTGGACGTGTGTTTAGAATCAAGAAGGGCGATTTTAGAGCAATAAATGTAATGCTTTTTAACTCTAACGACAGCGGCGCCTCTCCCGGATGTTGCCGCCAAGCCAGCTGAGGGCTCAGATGCGTAGCTGGGTAGTCGTATATACTTTTTTATATAGATGGACCGATAGTTAGAAATATAAACAGAAAGATATGGATATGGACATAGATGTGTGTATGCATGTATGTATATATGTATGTGTGTACATATATATATATATATACATACACACATGAGGCCACACACGCACACACACACACGCGTGTCTGCGTGTGCGTATGCGTGAGTGTGTGTGTGTGTGTGTGTGTGTGTGTGTGTGTGTGTGTGTGTGTGTGTGTGTGTGTGTGTGTGTGTGTGTGTGTGTGTGTGTGTGTGTGGCTGTGTGTGTGTGCATGTATGTATGTAGAGAAAGAGAGAGAGAGAGAGAGAGAGAGAGAGAGAGAGAGAGAGAGAGCGAGAGAGAGAGAGAAAGAAAGAGAAAGAGAAAGAGAAAAAAAGCGAG